AAAAAAAAAAAAAAAAAGAATCTGGGCAGGGCAGGGCACCCAGGCTCTGTCGGAGCATACAGACTGGGATGGAATTCTTGCTGGCCCAGAAGGTGGGTGGGAGTGAGGGATGGCTGCACCTCCATTCACCAAGAGGGTGTGGGGTATAAGAATAACAAGGGAAATATCGCAAATTATACTTAATCCTATATGGCTTTCTCTATCACTTGCAGAATAGAGTCCAGTATCTTCTAAATATCACACTTCACTACAATCTGACTTTTATTTACTTACCTAGTGAAAAAGATTATACTGAGAGAGAGGCAGGAAGGTTATAAAAGGAAGAAAGACAGGAAGCAGAAAGGAAAAGGGAGAGAAAAAAAGAGGCATCTGATTTAAGAAATTAACTTATATTAACCAACAGGCCTTAATTTTCCAGTGTCAATAAACAGTAAGTAAAATATCACAAGCAAATATTCATAAACATTTTTGAATATATGATCTCAAAAATAACAATACAAGTTTTTCTTACCTTAGCAGTTTTAATATAGTGGCTCAAAACTTCTGCTCTAATTTTTAATGTTTGAGCATGAAGAATCTCTCTAACAACCCAAAAGCTTACCTGCAAATAAGAGTTACAAATAGTTAAAGAGCAAAATTCTTTACTCACTGGAGTTAAATTAATGATGAAATCCTTTGCTCACCACCAAAATATAACCAATATTCAAATGTTACATATCTTCACACACACACGATTTTCCATTTGTAAAAGCTAATACAGATTTGCGGGGAAAAGAGAATACAATTCAAACCGGAGCGATGCAACATGAACAATACACCAGTACCAGTGTTTGCTGTATTTTGAAAGAATTAAGTAGGCTCTAAGATCAGATATCATGAAAGATGCTCTTATAAGCATGTTTTTCTGTGGCTGTATAGTCTAAAGTTGCCATTTTCTACACTGAGCAGAATTCTAAATGTGAAGAATTCCATATGGCTTCCTTAGTATGAATAAAATGAAACAAAATATAAGATAAAAAATATATAAACTATCAGTCTAAAATTAAGACTGTATTTTAGAAACCATATAATGCTTTCTAACTCAATAAAACTATCTTTTTATATTTGTTTAAAATGCATTAAAAAGTCACTCATCAGAAAGCTGGATCAGGGGAGTTCCGGCAAGATGGCGGACTAGGCAGAAGGACTGCACAGACCCTCTTCAACAAAGAAAAGGAAAACCAGTTAACACAGACACAGAAGATAATCCTGGACCCCTGAGCCTTGAAGGAAAGGATATAGAAGTGGACTAAACCCCAACTAGCAGAAGAATTTGCGTGAA